ATGTCCCTATATTCACATTTAAACGAACAGGACTACTTGTGTGAGTAAAGCACTCTTCTGGTGAGAAGAAACTCCGGCAACCGGCCCTCTCTGTCAAAGCAGCTGCTCTAACGATGAGCCACGGTGAAGAAAGATATTTAGCGATGCCCTAACTTCAAGAATAAACTCAACAAAGTCCTCCTTTCAGTCCGGAGCCTTCTCTATCCGTTTTGGCAGGTGAAACACAGTCAAAGCTTTGTGCCTAGCGCTAATACTGGAGCAGTAAAATAGTGTTCAAAAATAGGAAAACCAGACCCATTTGCCGATGAAGAATGATTTAATTAAAGTTTCCACTGTTCCAAAGCAGGTATGTTTCACATCATAAAGAATCGCTGTCATGAGACTGATTTGTTTTAGGGGAAGAGAAGTATTTTTTTCCAGCAAACTTGACTTCATTGGTAGGCATTAAATATTTCACTTGTTAACTGGATTACTGTTCACAATTAATTACTCACTAATGTGGAAAACCAGCTGCATTCTTGCTGGGCCGTCACAGTTTCACATAGGCCGTACGCAATGCCAAGAAGAAGAATACCCGCTACATTCACATTTTTCGTTACCTGGGAAGAGTTAAGTTTTCCCCAGTCCAGTTAGTAGCAAACAAAAGCAGGCTTGAGTCCAGGAACAAAAGCCGACAGTGTAAAACGTTACCATCTCACAGTCTGCTTTAAGACAGTGACAAATTATTTTTACATATGTTTGCAGAATGCAAATGTTATTTGACCTTTCCAGAAACCATTCGCATGGTTTTTTTATACTCTAAACCTCCCGTGGAAAATGTAGAAAATGCAAATCTACAATATACTAAGGTTTTGGGCAATGTCACAGACACCTTTGTACAAAACCTGGACCCCAGGCCTGCATACCTAAAACTCACGCCAGCTTTAGACTCCGGCAAATAGTTCTTCTGAATGCAGAGGTCCTCTTGTGAGTGTAAGAGTTTGAAGGACAAGGGCCTAACTTGAGCTGATTCCCTTCAGCATGCCAACGACTGTCCTTCTGCCATGGTTTCAATGCTAGAGACATAATGCGAGGGAACTGAAAGATGAAAAATAATAAAAGCAAAATTTACAAAATGACATATAGAGAAATGTGCACTCGGGGGAGAAGCTGCCTCCAAAAAATGAATGGCCTCATAATGATTCTGTTAGCGGTTCATGCATGAAATCACCACCCAAGTCAATGGTAGCGTTGCGTACCAAAGGCTTGCAGGGGGCTTTTCCACAGTGCACCGTTCTAATATTCTGAAGTTCTACTAATCTGAGCAACATCGGTACAATTTCAGCTACAACAAAAAGCAATAAAAATCATAGACTCGAATATTTGAGTTGGAAGGGTCCAGCAATGACTTGTCTAATCTAAAACACTCCATCCTGCTGCAACAATTATCCTGAAGAATTATGCTGTTGGTTTTTTTAAAAGAAGTCAGCAGGCATCACAACCTTAAATAACTAAAAATATTGTCTACATTTACTTTGGGAGTGAAGTTATTTGGTTAGGACCCTCTAAGACCTGTATAAAAATACCAATTGTAATGAGCTGTGCATGCTTTTATTAAAGAGGGTCAGGTGAGACTGAAACAGAGGGCTAAAATAATACCAGGACAACTCAAAATAATGCCCAGTCAGCTCAGTACAGACTGGCTGTGCCCCCTTGCTAACCTACGCTGCTTTTTTGTATAACGTTGAGCGCAAAGGAACTGCTGAATGCATTTCCCGACTGCATGATAAAATAAAAGGTTTTACTTAGATAATACATAACCCATTGATGTGACTCTGTGCAAACATTTCCCAAATTCATAAATACCAGAAAAATCATTTTTGAACAGGTCAAGAATGAAAAATGTCGTCCCCCAGACAGCAAATTTACCAAAAATTAAACACCTGATTTAGAATGGTAAAGGCCTGTCAGCCAGATGTTCCCTGTGTGTGGATAGGCATAAAACCAAAGATAAATAGAGCGCTGAACTATTCCCACAAAAATAACTAGCAAAACTCACACAGCTGTCAACGGGAGAACAGAGGAGCCCCGTGCGACAAGACTTCTGATGCCATATTTGTTCTGATCCTAAGTTAACTCTGTATACAAGTCCAGCTCCCATTTCAAGCTTCAATTTTAGGAAAAGCAGCTGGTTCCCTGAATATGAGGATATTCTAAACCAGGGGTCTGCAACCTAGAAACCACGGCCTTATCTGGCCTGCGAAGTAGCAGGGAGGAGACACTGAGAGCTTGGCCTGTCCTGTCCCTTTTCCCTGCCCTGCCCCATGTCACTGACCCCCTCCAGAGCATCCACCTCTGCACCCATCCCTGCTGCTCTACCTCCTACACCAGACGCTGCTTATAGTTGGAGTCAAATTTGCACCCCCCTCTCCCCCCGGCTCCCACTGGGGATAGGCGTTGGGGACAGGAACGTACTGGGGTGCATGCCACAGGCGCTGGCACATGGGGGGGGTGGCAGCAGGGGAAAGGGGTCTATGGAAGGGAGAACTATTGAAGGGATCAGTGGACCGTAGCAGCAAGGGGATCAGCAGGCCATGATTATAACTACTTTAAAAAGTTGCCAACCCCTAATTCTAAACTCACATATTCAGCGTTTCTGAGCGAATCAACCAAAAACAGGAGGGGAAAAGCCATGATTACAGCCTAACTGTCAAGGGCCTGAAAAGTCAACTCTCTGCATAAGCCAAGTATGATTTCTAGCATTCTTTTTGAGGAAAATAAGGCTGACTTTTAATCCTAAAAATACAGTATATCCAGCATACAGAATTGTGCTGAAGTGTGTTCTCAAATAGCGATGCATGTTCAACTGATTTCAATGGAAACCGCAGGCCAGTCATTTCAAGCAGAGTTTTGAGCAGTCGAGGCTGGATCACTGGGATCTGGCACGAATTGCAGCAGGTAGAGGAGAAGCTTAATAGAAATCCAGCTCTCCTCCACTACTCGGAGGAAGCCGGAATCGAAAGTTTCCCCGATCGTGGTCAGCAGCATGCTTGTCGTGGCCAGGCAGAGAACTGGGCGGTCACGTGGCGTGTTTACCTACTTGTTCCTCTCCGCTGCATTTATATTAGCAGAAAATATAAAATTGTTTCACATCTATCAGAGCGAAATCAATGCTTCCTATTCACTTCAACTGATGTCAGGGCAGGGCTAAACATGCTTTAATGTTTCATCACATCTCTTTTGCCTATCACGACGAGGGATGTACAATCAAACCAATGGGGTATGTAGCCATGAGCAATTAGGGGCTAAAAGTAAGCGTTGCCAAAAGTGATGCAATGAGGAAAATCTCACTGGGACACAAGGTCAGGATCTAAACAGCCCAAGCAAAAGTCCCGAAAGACTTACAAATGGTAAGAAAACAGCAGCAGAAAATGAAAACAAGGAGTGTGTTTTGCCCACCTGGAGGCAGATTTTGACACAAGTAGTAGAGACTGTTTGCAGTCATTGAAAAGAGTGTGCTGGACTCTTCCTTGAGTTGGAGTTTTAAAGAGATAAATGCAACAGGGAGAATAAGTCTGGAAAAATTAAAGTCACTTAAAATACTGCTCAACATCAGTCACGTAGGTTAGGGTAGCTTGCATTGTTTTTGATGGGAGAGACTCAGGGCTGAGATGCGTTGCAAATCTGGTTCAAATTGTGCACTACAGCAAGTTAGTCTCCAATATAAACTTTGTAAATTTTTTTTTTACCTTCTCTTGGCAATCTAAAGTATACAGGCTCCATCTGTCACTCCCCAAACACCCCAAACAGGTGTCGTCTACCACCATAATGCAAAACCATTTGGCCTGATAATTTACCCCGCTTTTCAAAATGAAATGAGTTTGAACTGGAATTTAGCTTCTTTAATTCTTTAGCTTAGCAAAATATTGCTAATATTCATACCAAACATAAGAAACAGCGAAGTGTTTCACCTTGCCTTATTTTTCCACTTCTAAAATAGCATTCAGAAACTACTGAAGTAATAATCTTGAAGTCGAAATCACCTTCCGGGCTGGGGTGCTATATTGAATTGTTCTGAGAAATGTTTTGAAGTGGCCTGGATAAATTACACAAGCTTCAACATTTAAAGATCAAATCAAAATTTAAATTTTAATGTTCTCATTTAACGCATCTTACTTTACTTATACAAAAACAATTATGCAAACATTAACAACTGATTTACGTAAGAACATTTTCTTAAGTCAATATAGCAAGAGAAATGCTTTTTTTTCAGTAGCATTCGAATATTATTGTCCTCATACAACAGTCTGTTTTATTTAGGTTGCTTATGATCAACACTGGTGTTCTGCTCCAGTTACAGCACATCCACTAATTTCTTCTATAGCTCAAAAGAAATTTCTAATTTATGTATGTTGGACTGCTGGCCCATGCGCCTTAAACATCAACTTTGGTATTCAGCTTTGATTATTTGGGGTTATACAGCCTGGACCAGATGTGCACGGTGCCCAGGGCGCTCCAGTTCTGCAACACGTTCACAATTTAAAGAGAAGATGCCTCTTCAAGACAGCTGGGCCCAGCGCTGAGGGGACACTAGATGTCTATCAAGAACAAAAAGAGACCCCCTCTTCCAATTTTCCTCCAAGCCCTCATAGACACGTGTCCCAAACCAAGTACTTTTCCTACATCTAAGTCCCTGAACTCCAGTGTCTCAACAAAGTTGCACACATCTGTCAGCAAAACGTCCCTTGCCTTGATTTTCCTGTTCTAAGTCCCACCGCTGAACTGCTTCACAACACAGAGAACAAGCTTGTCTTTGTAAGAGACCTTCGAACGATGCAGAATTTGAATGCTGCCTGGACTGCGCAGGGACAAGACTGGGCCTACTGTACTCAGGTCTACCACGAGACATCAAAAAGCAAGAGAAAGCTCAGGGAAGAACTCCAACTTCGAGAGCTGCAATTCTCCACTGCTCTCCTCTCGTTCTAGGAGGCACTAATTTGCTGCAACATGAAAAAAGCTGGTAGCAGTGATGCTGGTAGTCCTAATACGACTATAAAATAGGTGAATTCCCCTCTTCTAATCTAGCCCACAATTAACTGATGATCTTCCCTGTCAGGAAGAGTGTGATGGGTGCTACCCAGCTGTTCCCTGGAGCATTTACTGTTTGGAGTACACGGTATGATCTCCATCCGTTTCCTCCTGAGAAGATGGCTGGTTGCATTCGCAGATCACTCCGGATTCCTGGCTATCGGGGAAGGCCGCTAGGACACAAAAGCAAGATATGAGGGTCTCGAGTTTCCGAACAGAGAATGGAGCTGAATACAATGCCATTCATGACAACTTTAGTTGTGACTGCCCATGCAAGATGACCTTTGTTACTCCAGCCCAGTCTTTTCTCCAAGTAGTCAAAGCTGCTTGACCTTTCTGAGGAGTAAGGTTGCTGAAGTCACACTTTGGGTTTCAAACAGCAGCTGACCTTGCCCCAGCCCTGGCTAAGGAAGCAAAGCAAACATTTTTTAAAATGGCAAAATGCACTTATTGCATCCTTGCCATGTAGTTTGGAAAGTTAAGGCCATATGAAAATAAGGATTAAAAGACAATGTCTTTGTGACTTTACATAGAGCAAGCCATGTTGCCTGTTCACCATCGTGCACATTTAAGGATGCCAAAGGTGCAAAAGCTTTGACCGCGTCCACCAAGCACCTATCAAACTGGAGCTCCTTAATTCATCAAGCTTGTACGTGCTGTTTAAAGCTCCCTCATATCCACACATAAGGAGTCTTTTTTCAATACCCCGTTCTTTCAACAAAAAATAACCCCACCACCATGTTCTGCCCTTGGTTACAACTGGTGGTGAACTGGCACCATTGCAGGCTAGCAAGACACCATGTATTTGTTATGTCAAAAGGATGTCTGTGACCTTTCTACAAAAATTATGACGTGGAATATTATAGCAGCATCTAACGTATAGATTTTAAGTCACCTTTATAAACCTAACTGGAAACAAATCCAAACATCATTCAGCTGCAAAATCAAATCTCTGTTGTTCCTGCAACTGTGGAAGCCTTTTCAGCTCTGAGCTGTTCGTTGCCTTGGATTTCCATCAAGGCAGAGGTTCAAAGACATACCCTTTCCCACCATGTTTTCTTTCTGCTGGCATTTTGTATATCAATTTTCTCTAAACTATCTATCAAATTAGACAAGGAGTTGAGGAAACGAGGGAGTTTTTAAGTGCAAATCGGCAAAGAAAATCCTCACGAATTAAGAAGCTTCAATTTGCTGGATGGTCAGTGGACTCCATCAAAGTCTTCCAGTACCCTGACTTCCTTGTTCTGATCTGAATCCAGTGGATCTGCCAGTAGATCTAGCAATGTCAGCTTGGTTGGTTTGACTTCATTTTCTTCTAAAAAAAAACAAACCACAGCAAGATCCCACTGGACCTGTCTGCAATGAGATTTATCAAGTTTTTTTTTACTTTCTTTCCTCAATATTTATTATTCTTTCCCCAGACTTAAAACAGGAGCAAAATGCTTGAAATGGTATCAAAGATGTCTAGATTTACATTACCTTATCATATTACCATACTTCTGTATCGCCTGTTGAAATGCTAAACATAATACATACAAAATACAAAAATATGCCCTGCTTTCCTCTATCACTAGTCCAGTTCACCCTCACCCTCTTGTATTGAAAGGAAAAGCACTGACCCTTTAATATCAATACCAAAAAGTCCTGTTCCTACACTCAGATATTGCTCTCAGGACCAGTTTCCTGAGTCCCGCTGACTTCAGGGGCTAAGTACAGACAGTCAAAAAGCCCGAGGCTGAATCGATTCAATCTTCACAGGTTTCTCTAAGCTGCACAGATTGAACCAATAATGATGTGAACAGACATTCATATTTGAATCCAGAAAGGCAGCCGGATGCCTAAAGCGGCCCAGGCCAGAAGCCAAGGGCGCTAAAGCATGCCTGCCTGCCTGGTGGCCACTGCTGAGGGCACCCGAATGCAGCCGAGTGCCCGACTGTCCCCCACAGGCACGAACAGTCCCTCCAGACCAGTCAGCACCAGGTATCTGCCCACATGGGGGGATCCCCACGCCACGCCAAGCAGGGGTTTCCCACCCCGGTTAGGGTCCCCCAAGCCCTGCCAGAGGGGGAATTCCTCCCTCCGCATGGTCTGGCACTGGTTTAGCCCCACCGTCACAGGCGCAGGGAGGACATTCCCCGCCACCAGGGACCCCGGCAGTGGACATCAGCTGATATGGGGGGGACCCCCGCACCTCAGTAGGGGATCCCTGCCCTGGGCAAGGCCCCGGAGCCCTGCTGCCGATGCAGGGGGGAGTTCCCCCCTCCCCCTCCTCGGTGCAGTCCAGCCCTGGCTCGCTTCCCTGCCCCTGCGCGCTTGTGGGGGTGGGACTAAGGGGTGGGAGTGGGGAATTCCCCCTCTGCACCAGAGGCGGGGCTCGAAAATCCTGCGGGGCAGGGGATCCCCCCATGTGGGCTGACGCAGGGCACTGGCTTGGCCCCAGGCTGGAGGGACTGTGCCCCCCTGCATCTGCAGGAGTGGAGCTAAAAGCTGGGGCCAAACCATGCAGGTCCCCGGGCACAGCGGTAGGGCTCAAGGAAACCTGCCCAGGGCAGGGGAACCCCCGCTGAAGCATGGGGATCAAGTCTGGCCCTGGGCTGGAGGGACGGCTCCCGCCTGCATGTCAGTGACTCACACGTGGGGAGCCCTCGCACACCAGGCACTGGGGCTGTGGACGGGGGCTCTTCCCTCGTCTCCCCCCTGCCCTGCCGCACTGACGGGCACAGGCAGGGCAGAACAGAGCACTCTGACAGCCCGGGGTGAGGCAGGGCTGGCCCTGCTCAGCTGGAGCAGAGAGTGTGGGCCAAGGCTAGCCTGCCCACCCTGTGCGGGGGGTTTGCAGAAGAGGTGCAAAGCATCCTGGGATGCCAGGAAACTGTGAGTTAGCGTGAGTCAGGAGGGGATTTGGGACAGAAGGTCAATAGACCGGTTTAACCTAAATCAGTTAAGTCTGATACTACATTAATCCCGGTCTATCTTAAGCCAGTTTCGGCCATTTTGAATAGACTGAATGTCTATTCTATTACAGGTTTAAACCAGATTCTGATCACTTAAACCGGTTTATGTGTAATGTCTGTCACTAGATCAGGTGTGTTAGAGTCCCCCTCTACACGTTACACTTAAGGCATGATTACTCAGGGAATTACACCTTAACTTGTGACCCAGCTACACGTCCGAGCAATTCACGGAGTGATAAAACAAGCAAGAAACTGCAAAGTTATTCCCCAAAAAATGGGCAATAACTTTGGAGCTTGTTCTAACTATGCCATTAATTGAACATGTGGCCAGGTGCTCCCCCCTGTGGCTAGGAGCCTCATCAGCTGAGGGACTCCCAGCCACAGGGCTGCGCGCCCTGCTGCCGGCCCGTGGCTGACAGGGTTTGCAATGGTGGCAGCGTTGTCAGCTGCAGGGCTTGCAGCGGGGCGGCAGGGAGAACACTGCCCCCACGCTTTCCACGCTGCAAGCGCCGCAGCTAGTGTCACAGCAGAACTCACAACGGAGGCAGCAGAGAGAAAGTTGCCCCTGCTGTGAGACTCATGGGGTCTCACTCCTAATTTGCAATGGGACAGGACTAGACAGGGAATCCCAATTCTAAGGTCAGTCCCCAGGCCCAATAGTATCCTTGCACTCTAGAAAGATTTGATTCTAGACCTGATCTCACCTGTCTCTACAAGAAACCTGAACTGGAATATCTAATTTAGCTATCCCCAATCGCAGAGAAAATGTAGGTCCAAACTCCACTCTTTCAGGACATCCTTATTTTTGCTTATTGATACAAATGAAATGATGATGGTGTTTCCAGTAAAGAGACTATGACAAGCACAGTCACCCTTATTTGATTCAATGAGGCTAATGCACTCTTTAGTGTACTCCACATAATTCAGGAGAGACAGAACTCTCCCAAGACATGTGAACGGCAGATTATTTGTAAACTGTCCATCACAAGGACAAGGCATTTGATCACATTCTTGTATTTCCCTCATAAGAGAGAAATAATCAATATGTATGTAAGTATTTTCATCAACAATTTTGCATCAGCAAGGGCATTCATTTTGCTGGTACTAGTGGTTCATTCTCTGAGCAGTTCTTCCCTCTTGTGGTCACAAACGGCTATATTTCAGTTTGTCAAACTAGTTACACATACACAATCACTGTGAATATATATCTGCTGTCTTCCAAACATGGGTTATAAGTTATGACAATGACTGAAAATGAAAGGTAAAACATTATCCATTTAGGAAATATATAATAGTGTGGGGACTGAGTCCTTTTGTCTAAAATACTGTTTCCATAACCTGGGCAGGTGATCCTTTTTTTTTAACAGCTGGCTAAAATGCAAGATTTCTGTTTTGAAATACGTTTATATATTTTTTTAAAGTTAGTTTGTGCGCTGTTCTGGAGAAAAGCACTTTGCTTTACGTTTCCTGTGACCCAGAAATTCTGAACAAAGGTTTTGGGAACATCAATGTAGAACATTTTGAAACTAAATTTTCCCTGCCAGGATCTGCACCTGTTGTGTTGAGACTAACAATAGTTTCAGTTTAATGGAGCAGTTGCTAAGGTTCCCAGGAGACCTGCAGACACCTCTGGACTTCCAGACTTCCCACCAGTTGGTTCCCTGGGCTGCCTGCTTCCTGAGATGGGGATGTCCTGGAGCCACCCACTCCTAAAATTCACCCCATGACTTCCAAGTCCTGAGGCTAGGCTCTGTTAGGCGACCTCATCCTGAAAGGCCTCATCAGCATCAGGTTCCTCACTGCAGAGCTAGGAATCAAGCCCTGGTTAGAGCTGGGGCTCCCAGGCCGTTCAGATGCCTGGAAACTCTGGCACAACGGGCATTTATAGCCATGCTCTGGGAGTCGGGGGACTCCAAGAGCTGCTCTAATTAAAGCACCCGGAGCGTCACATGTATCAGCATCCCAGCTCGTCAAACGAGCTTTAGTTAAAGTGCTCCTGCCATCATTTTTCAGCGTGGGGATGCTGATACACGTGACGCTGGAGTCTGCTGAAGCAGAGTAATTACCACGCTCCAACAGGCTCAATTAATCAAGATGCACTTAGGGTTACCATATGTCCCAGACATGTCCTGTTTTTTGGACCCCTGTACTGCGTCCAGGTGGGTTTTTAAAATAAGAGCAAATGTCCAGGTTTTCTGCTCTCCTGGGCTGGCTGCTTGCAGCTGGGAGCAGCAGGCAAGGTGATTGGCTGTTGGGGTCTGGTGCTCCCCGCGTGGGGTCCGGCAAGCCAGGTAGAGAGAGAGAGAGAGAGAGAGAGAAAGCGTGTGCGTGAGCAATGCGGGAGCTGTTTGGGCAGCAGGGCTGGGGGGGGCTGGAGTCTGCGGGTCAGGAGTGAGGGGCATCAGCAGGGCTGGGCAGGGGTGCAGGTCGGGAGTGAGGGGCTAGGAGGAGAGCAGGGGTCTGCGGGTCAGGAGTGCACCGGCAGGGCTGGTCCGGGGGGCAGGGGCTGCAGGTCAGGAGTGAGGGGCTGGGAGGGGGGCAGGGGTCTGCAGGTCAGGAGTGAGGGACATGGGGGACAGGGTGGGTGACTGTGGGTTGGGTGTGCAGGACACTGGCAGTGCCAGGGGGCTGTGGGTCAGGAATGAGGGGCACCAGCAAGGGGTGGGGGGCAGGGTACTGCTGTTTGGGAGTGAGGGGCACTGGCAGAGCTGGGGTCAGTGGGTCCAGAGTGAGGGGGAGCAGCAGGGCTGGTGGCTTGTCAGTGAGGGGCAACAGAACGGGCAGGGGCAGGGCACTGGCATGTCACTGCCTGCCACCATCATATTCCCTCTGCTCTCCTCCCCGGTGACAGGTGTCCTCTTTTTTGGGCCTGGAAATATGGTAACACTAGATGCGCCATTATATATTTCTGGCATAAATAATGTTTTACCTTTCATTTTCAGTCATTGTCATAACTTATATCCCACGTTTGAGAGAAGGCAGATATACATCCACAGTGATTGTATATCTGTAAATACAGCGTGACGAAGCAGCCTCACTGCACATATATAGGTGCCCAACATGCCTGGCTTCCCCCGAGCTGCGTACTTTTGAAACAGTGAGGTCCCCTGTAGCGTGCCATGGGGACCCTCCCACCTTTGTTTGAGCAGGGGATCTCTGAAATCAAGATAATTCGGGTCATACAATTTAGGCTGAATACATCAGTATATTCTAACTAAACTCTGTTTTAGCTGAAAATTTCTCACCGATTCTGTTGTCATGTTTCCTATAAATTATTTTCCACTGCAAGATGAAGGCAACACGAAACTGGTATAGCATGCATGCAAATAAGGGCCACCTGGAAAGTTTAATTACACAATAAAGATCCAATTCTGCCATCCCTCCAGATACAATACTCCTGTTGACTTTAATGGGCTGTTGCATGGTTAGTAATGGAGCGGCAAGTGTATAAACATTAGCATAAACTATATTGCACCTAGACAGTACACAATATACACGAAGCTAAGTGAAATCACCATAGGTACACACTTTTGTTGGAGGTTTAGACCTTAACGAGCTAAACACATCATCCATTTTACCAAGATCTGTCACGACTGGTGCATGAGATCACTCATTGCACACCTTCTTACCAGCTGCGTCCTTGGAGGCGTCAGGCGGAACGCCGAGTGGGAAGGGCGGTGATGGAACGTAGCGGATCCCCGGCAGGAAGCCCGGCGGTATGAACTGAGGAAGCGGAGAGTAGTAACCTTGTCGGAAATCTCCACCTGCATCTGGAATCTGCACAAACATACCAAACAAAGCTGCAGTGCAGACGCAGCCTCACCCGCCAAATCAAAGGCCAAACCCTGTCCTGGCTTACACTGCTTCTGAGGGCATCAGGGCCACATCATAGCCACTGTTTTGAGACACTCTATTTAGAAATATTTGGTTTCCCCACCTTCTCCACAACCCCTGGCCTTGTCGCTTCTGAGCCATGTGCTGTGCTACTAGGTGCGGGACCTGAGACAAAAGAAGTGCGTCTTGCGTGATGCCGTCATGGATTCTAATATTATGAATTTTAGACTACGTCTGTCTGTCTGTTCCTAACTCTTTATCTGCGCCTGGTTGGTTGGCCAAGTTATGCGGGGGGGGGGAGCATGTCTGAGCCCAACGTCTGAGCCCTCAGGAGGCTCACTGGACTCAGTGTTATGGCCAGAGGTTGCCCCTTCCCGTGAGGGCCAGGTTTTAACACTTGCCATGCCCAAGACTGCACTTGGACGAGGGGGTAAAAAGCACCTGTTCAAATTCGCAGACAACACTAAGATGTGGGGGGATGTGGGCACGCTAGAAGGGAGGAACAGGCTGCAATCAGACCTAGACAGGTTACAGGGGTGGGCGGATGAGAACAGGATGGGATTCAACACTGACAAGTGTAAGGTGCTGCACCTGGGGAAGAACAACCGGCACCATACCTACAGGCTGGGGAACTCCCCTCTTGTCAGTGCAGAGGCGGAAAAGGATCTTGGAGTCATCACTGATGCCAAGATGAACATGGGCCGGCAGTGTGGGGATGCGGTCAGGAAGGCCAACTGCACCTTGTCGTGCATCCACAGATGCATCTCGAGCAGATCCAAGGAGGTGATCCTCCCCCTCTATGCGGCACTGGTCAGGCCGCAGCTGGAGTA